CAACCGCTCTAACGTCATGGTTGACACATCTTGCCCTTCTTCAATCGCTGCGACAACGTAGTTAAATCTTTCGGTCAAAGACCTCAAGATCTTTTCTACAACTCGCACATCTTGGAGTTCTTCACCATTAACCCTTAATTGGTTAACAATGGTCTGCACACAATCAAAGTACGCCGAGATTGATTCAGAGTCATTCATACGTAAAGACTCGAAATCTCCTTGAAGTGTTTGAAGCCGCACACGTTTGACATGATCATCGCCTTTGCAGGATTGTTGCAAAATATCCCACGCTGCTTTCGCGGTTTCCGCGCTCGATATTTTTTCAAATATCATTTCCTCTACGGATTGAAAGATCGCAAACAATGCTTTCTGATCTTTTTTCCGAGATTCCACCAAAGAGTCTTTCTCCTCCCTTCTCAAAGCATCGAATTCTTCAGCATTGGCCACTTCGGTGTAGCCGTTTTCCACCAAGTTCCATAAATCTTGCGATTTGAAAAGAACCTTCATATGGACGGACCAGTTATTGAAATTTCTCCCGTTCAACTTTGGAAGTTGTAATTGAACGGAACTAGTAGATGCCATTTCTAGCTCTGATACCAAATGTTTGAACCAAAAGAATAATAATAAACTTTGGAAACTTGGAATAAGAGCACAAATAATTATTGGAGGGAGAACTTTTGTTTAGAATGCTTTGTCTTTGTGGCTTCGTGTTTGGCTTGATTTACAACTCACGACTTCATCCCTTTATATAGGAATTAAAGTTCACAAACTCCAATGATTACATTTAATAATGAAAACATAACAATCCACAATCATTAAGAAAGACAATAAAACAGCTTAATCTGTTGAAGAAAAACGAAGCCACGTTGAAGTTTTTGTGACTCTTCTTTAACGCTTGTAGCTTCCAGCAACCGACGTGCTCAATCACACCAATAATCAATTTTATGTTTCTCCAACATCCTCTTCATGGTCTCACTTATGATATTGGAATTCCGCTCATACTCATGTAAATTTAGGTCTTATATTCTGTATATCGCAGGCAGTATTTACTTATACCTTGACTTTCATAAGTTTATTCTATATAGAATCATGTCATGAGAAGAATCACATTACAAATGTAACCAACCGGATCTGGTGCATAATGCACTGGTCTGTCTGGATGTTAACTGGTGCAGGTCAATGGCGTGCTGCATATTGGTTCATAATGATTGATGTATGGCTAAGTTTTTAGTGGGAGAGTTTCTTTCTTTCCTTTTCTAATTCTTTTGCCGTGACAAGTATTGGAAAATTCGAGGTTGGTTAGAATCAATTTTTTATTGCATGAAAGCTTTATCACACTCAAATTGTCAGCTGCGAGAGAAATATTTTTTGTTGACTAATTTTTCTAAGCAATATAACGAATCATTTCTTAAAAAATATTTTTCAAATCTCAATTTTTTTGGGAAACAAACACACCCTTAAAGGAAAAGGAGAGGTGGTAAAACTGAAGGAATGGGAAGGCAAAAGGAGGGTGAAAAAGAGAGACTCGGAGAGCTACTTGGATGTTCAAAATTGCTATTTATGTGTTACCGTTGATGGGCCGTCGGATTATGTCAGATACGTGGTGGTCTATGAATGACAAGTGATGAAACGGTGTGACAAATGACATTTTATAATGGTTAAGGGGCCAATGCATGTTCAACCTTTCATACAATGAGAGTATTGTCGTGGGCTCCAGGAAAATAATATAATTTGGTGGAGTTTTATCATCATCCAGACTATCGGGTAACAAGGTGACGTCGTTGGGTATAATTACCTAGACTCGCCGGTAATAGTGTATGCACCTGTCGGTATCAACATGACATGTGTCAACGGTCAATTTGTTAGTTAAAATCCCACTCTCAGACCCCTCGGGTGTAATTGCGGGGCCTCTCCTCTTTGCTCTAGGCATTAACGTGAGGTGTACAAAGGGTCCTAAGAAGGCTTACAATTCGGGCCATTAGATCCAAAAGGCGTAATGACACCAATCGTCGTGTCACCTTCTATCCTGCTCCCACATTCATACTAGTCATGCAAGGGAAGTTTCATCGACACTGATCCGTGGTCACTGGGTTGGTTAGCGCAATCTGGTTCGTGGATAATGGTATAACTGGCAATAATCACAACCCTTAATTTCCATCGATCTAACTGTCCCTCTGGGCAAGACCATTTAGACTAATCTTGGACAGTGGATTTTCAAATGTTTTGATGCATATATGTAGCGCGGACAGTTTTCTTCCTCACCATTGCTTCTCTTCTTTCACTTTTCTTCTCCAAAGTCCAAATCTTAGTCTCGTCCTTGTTCTTCTAAGTTACTCTTCTGGACGTCAGAAAATAATGAAGGATCTTCTCGCCATTCCGTTAGCCCCAATTCTCTGCTAGGAAATCAGATTACGAGGCGTAGAGCCCTGGACCTAAAGAAAAAGGAGTAATCGTTCTGAATTCGATCTTATTCACTTGGAATGCTAATGCATCTCTTCAATTTTCGTGCACTAGAAAATGGATAAGATGGATCGAGCGCATACCTCGAAAAGAAAAAAAGGGAGTATTCGTTCCAAATTGAATTGACTCGTTCGCCAGCTGATTTAGTCACCCTTTCTTGCAGGATGACCGAGAAGGACGATGAAGGCGAACCAATCACTCCTATAAAGGCACCCTCAAATTCAAAGGAAAAGAAATGTAGAGAGGCAAAACTACCCACCTTCGAAGGAAAAAAAGTGGATCCATTCCTAATTATAAAGCTCTTCTACTTGATGTTTGACTTCGTGCTCCCCCTAAAACATAGATCGAGGCAACCCCGCTGCAAAAGGCTCCGTGATAAAACGAGGAACAATAACAATGGGATCATCCAACTCCAAGAAAAGGGTGTATTTCGTTCCTTTTTTCGACCTCATTCATTGTGTTAAAACGCTTAGTTGCGCTCAGTTTAATCCCCGCAATGTGATGACCACGATATTAGAACGGTTGATACATGCATTGTTGGTCTGAGACCTATTGTTCAATCAATCGGGGTTATAATTCATTTCTGGATACTAATGATCTAGAAATTCAAAATCGGACAAGATTTGGGATGAATGAAGTGTGCGACTCGTTGATAAATATGCTCTTCCGCCAATTTTGATGCTGATTAAATTTGGAGTTGTGAATGTGATCCTTGCTGTATTGGATGAAATCAACGATTGGAGTATGTTGACACATGATTTTTAGTCTGCAATTCTAGCGTTCATTTTTCATAAAAGTGCAAATAATAATAAAAAATATATGGATACTAAAAATAGTAGTAATAAAAAAAGATAAAAAGTGATAGAAAGGGATTTCCTCCCTCCAATTCTGTCTCCATAAAGGTTCTGTTGGTTCACCACTTAGAAAGCGGGAGAGAAACTAAGATATTTTGAGAAAGGAGTTTCGAGAACTTTTTTCCTTCTCTTTTGCTGACGGACGACTTGCATCATCGTCGGTGATTACCCTTTGCACCGTCACCGAGACGCCCTCTGTCTTCACCTGTTTTACTATCGAGGCGTCCAAGAAGTCTCAGCCTTTGTTCGAGGCCTTCTCGACGGCACCAATCACCGGAGATGAGCTATTCGACTAAATCTAGTCGCCGCAAGCCTCATTTTTGAAAGAGCATCAAGATTACTCTGTCTTGTTTTGTTTCATGGTCGAGGATTTTGACGGTGAAGGTCCGGTGACGAATATTAGATAGGTTACCAATAGATTTGCTTTATTTATTGTTAGGGTATCGGATTGGATCATATATTTTATTAGGAGAGTAAATATGTAATTTTCGGTCTCTTCCCCTTAATTTTATATATATGTTCATGGCTTGATGCTTTGGTATATTGACTTTTGTTTGAAGCATTGTGTGTTCTTAGTCTGCGTTAGCTTTGAAGGAGACGATGAACTGAGCATAAAAAGGAAAAGGAAAAAGGTAATCAATAAAAGGAGAATAGAAAGACGGGCTTAACCTACTTTAGGTGAGTTTTGGGTTTAATTTTGTCCGGTAGATTTGGGCTTAATATTGGTTATAATAGGATTTGTGAATTTTGGGCTCAATTTGGCCCAATTTCATTTGGATCAGTTTAAGTTTAGTCTGGTTACTATTTAGGTTGCGGTCGGGCCCAAAGATTCGCCGCGTGTCCTCATTTGTTATAATAAATAATAAATAATCGAAAATAAAAAAATTGGAATATAGTTAGAAAAATAGATCTTGATTAGGTTGTAAGGTCTTAATATAAGATTTGGCTCGTTTTCGTTTAGTTAGAGTTCTTATAGTTTGGAAAGTTCTATTTCTTGATTTCTCGGGCAATCTGGGCAATCCGTGCCTTTATTTGATTGATTGATGATTTGTTTGTTCACTACCGATTAGATTTAGGATTCTTAGTCTAGCTTGGGATCACTTAAGATTATTTTAGCTAATTAGTCTTAATGAATAAAAATGGATTTAGTTTGAAAAATCTGGTAAAAAAAAACAGAAGCAAATTGTTTAGATATATCATTTTAAAAGCTAAAAATTGTAGTAAATGGCGTAGTTGCATTTAGGATTTACCGCAAATAATTGAGTAGGTAATATGGAAAGTGTCGTAACTTAGGAAAGGCTTGAAAAGGACTAATGCGTGTCAACTATTCTAAAGTCAAATTGGGACCCCAACTTAGGATGACAAGGAACCAGGCAGGGATTTCTTGCTTCCTCGAAAGTTTTCGAGTGCCCGTATTATCCATTTTAAGATAGGGTAGTCTCTAAAATCAAGTTTACGAGGGTTCATGTCCCAAGACTTATAACAAAGCTTTGTATATTCTTTATCCGACTTGGATCGGGTTACTTTAATGCACTCTATTTTTTATCCATTCTTTAATTACTATTTTTTATGAATTGGTTGTAATTCTTTATATTGCTTTTCTATTGTGATTTGCTTCTTTTAGTTGAATGGTCAGGTTACATTTTAGAATCATAATAAACACGAAAACATCGCATAGACAATTAGTGAATGAGGATTCTATGACTCATAATTGCATAAATAGATGTGACACTTAGTTTACAAATAATCAAATTTAACTACTGAAAGGGCATTAGCTGGATAACTAGTGTGATCAAGTCCGCATGTCTGGAAAATCCAGTTGCATAGGAAGTGAGGTAGGGGTGATCGGTTCTCGGTCCAGTTCCGGGTTCCAAAAAAGTGTGGGCAGTGGTCGAACTGCAGCACTGCTGCAAGCTGCTTCTTGCGCATCACCGAAGCTCCTGCTCGATGATGTTCCCGGCGGCTGCAAGTAGCGACAATCTCAGTGACAAGAAAATAAGGAGGAGGAAGAAGAGAGCACAGGTGATTGTGAAGTCAAAAAATTTTACACTTGCCATAAATGGTACTTCCCCGGAAAACGTCGAGGAGAGAGGATGACTAGCATCTCCAGGTGCATTAACTGTTTCGCTGCACAGAACCTTGAGCAGCATCCGGATCCTGTCCCCATCTGTGATTACAAAGAAGAAAAGCATGCTCAGGAAAATTGCTCACTGATCAATTCAAATGATTGGACACTATTACTCATATATCTTGTTGCATGTATGCATCGAAAAAGTAGATGGACAAAGGTGATTGTTTTTTTTTTTTTGGACGGAAAAAACTCATTTCATTTCAAAGGGAAGACAAGTACATCAGATTTGCTTCCGAACATAATAAATCCAAAAGGCGGGATAGAGTCCTAGCACAAAGGAAGAGTGTTGCGGAGTTGGGCTTTGACGACCCAATCCGCTATTTTGTTCTAAGATCTAGAGCAATGAGCCAAGCTTAGATCGGGTAGAGTTAGTCAAAGAGTGTAGAAGGCATTTTGATAAAGGTGATTGTTATAGTGTGAAAACATTTAACCACATATTCACTGAACAACCTAAGCTTTGAGATCAATTAACATTGAACTAACAAAATTTCACATGATATCAGAGCCTCACGTCCTGTGTCTAAATCACTTCAAGCCATTTATTTGCTTCTCCAAAGATCAATTTTGGCGCTTTAATCTTAGGTCACATTCCAATTTATGCATGAGGGGGAGGGTTACAATATCTAAATAAAAATCATGCTTTCATCTAACTCAAGTTTTGAATCAATTGGCAATGGTCTCAAAAAATTCTATAGTGACAAAGTTTCCATGATATTTCTCATTCAAATTTATGTGAGCAGTGAACAAAGAAAATAAAAATGGAGAAATCATATTTGACGATGCAAAGTAACAAGGGCCATATTTAACGCATTGACATAGATTTCGGTGAGTCATTATCGTATTGATGCAACTAAGCATAATTCAAAGTTGAATACCGCATTCTCTCACTCGAATAAAATCAAATCCATACACATATCTTAACATATTTAACAAGCTAAAATGACAATTGAAGTTTACTATAAATCTCAGATGAGCTCAAAAGACGCCTTCCCTTTAAGCAAAAGTCACCTTCAATTCAATGGCCACGAGTGCTGTCAAAGTGATTCCATTTTCAAAAGTTATTGCTAGCGCAACTAATTCAGAAATTACACTAGAAAGTCCAAATCAAATTTTGCTTGCTATGTGTAGGTTTCACAAAGTTCAACTTCACAGAATTAGGAAATTTGGATAGGCAAGGCACCGTCTCCTCATTTGGTTGTTGTTTCTTTCAAGCATACTCCATTTCTAGGATTATGGATTCTGCAAACAACAACCAAACCTGAAATTCAAACTAACAGCAGAGTCTGCTCTACTTTAATGTTTTTTTTTTAAAGTCAGAGTATACCAGACTCTGATTAAGAAGATGCCGCTGTTTCAAGTCTCTTAGCCTAGTCTTTGACTCTTTGTATCTTATTATTTGCGTCTAGATGTCCCATGTCAAGAAAAGAAAAATAGAAAATCTTAATTGCCATCAAATGTCTAAACCTGAATCATGCATTATTATCTACAACAGTGAAGGCCAACGAAAAAAAGACCATAAAAGCATCGAATTGTCATCATGGGTCTAAATTTGAATGACTTACCATCTTCCACGGCAAAGGCATTAGATGTGCCCTCAAGGACACGGATTCCCTCGCAACAAGCCGTTGCAGTTTTTACTCCAAGCCTAAATTTTCCACTTCTTGTCCAGCTTGATACGTCATTAAAAGTGATAGCATGCAATCTCCCTATGCCTTTATTGAGGATCACTGAGAGATCACCCGTCAAGAGTGGCATCTTCCCATCTCGCCCCCTTATTTCATTACTCCGAAAAAACTCTTTAGTCCAATTTTCACCAGCTTCTTCATCAAAGTCACCTCCAATCACCGTCACCATCAACTCTAGCACTGACAAGGGTCCAGATTGCACAACCCTGCCTGTACTAGAATCTACTAAGATGACATGAATAGGAAATCCGTTGCCTCCCCTCACCATATTACCTACAACTAGGCTTGATTGTAGTTTAGTTATAAAATGAAGACGTAAATGCTTTTCGCTCTCACCATCTTTTCTTGCTGATGCAGACCTGTCGATAGAAAGACGAATTTAATAATTCACCCAATAAAAATCTGCACTGCAGAAGATAGTGCCTAGTACACACAATATGAGTACAGCTTTCTTGCCAACAGCAGAGTCATGCAAAGGAAGAGAATGCTGAGGACCAAATCCAACATATGGTATCATTCTAGCAGGTGATTCACATTACCATGAAAATCGCAATCAATTGACGATAAAAACGTACGGCCTTTTAGCATTCACTAGCTTGAACATAATGATCTCACTTAGTCTTTTGAAGAATGGAAAAGAAGCACAGGTACTGATACTCATGATCATAAGAAATGATGTTGTCCCGGTCTCTATCATCGATACCTGGAAATATACTTGAAAGGAATTCACTAATTCAAACAGTGTTGCAAATTAACTTAAGGTGAACTCCTGCGGAGGATCAACAAGAAAGAGCAAAAACATTCTTAGTGACATTATCATTCACTACCGTCATATTTGATTCTACCACTAATAAATCATCCCGCATCGTTGGTGACAAATCAGCTTAGCATGCATTTAAATCGCAATCATCACTTAAGAGTCGCAACAAATATTCTTACCAACTATTTAGCTTTCCATATGATGAAGGAACTTTGATCTCGTCCAATAGATCACGAGTGAAATTCTCATTGATAAACTCTGTAAAATCAGGGAGTTCACCGAGTTTCTCAAGATCAAGTGGCTTCCTAATTTTTTCTTTCATTGTGTTGAAATTCTCCATCAGTAACGCATTTGTCCTCAAATGTAGATAATCGTCCGTCACTGCAGGCATCAATGGCTTCCTCTTCTCAGTTTGGGCAGTTTCAAGTGCACTCAAACTCTGCCCGCAGATCGAAGTGCTGCAGGGTTGGCTTAGGATTCTAATTGCGTACTTCTTCAATACAGGAAGGGCATCACCGCAATAGTCCCACCAGTCACCTTTATATGCAACAAAGTATATAATTTTCACATTGAAAACAAATAAAATAGGAAATTAAATGAATGCGGTTAAAGAAAGAATAGATACTTACAAGGGTGAGATGTTTCTAACATTGTCATTGCTGTACAAGTGAACAACTTTGGCGCTTTGTTACGATATTGCAGCATCTCTTCCACAAATTTTTTCTTTTCTTCACCACCTAGCAAATTTTCCATTATGAAATCTATGCCCTCTTTCATTGTAGCATTCTCTATAAACTTCTCGCTGCACATGTAAGCAGGGTTAAGAAAAGCAGCAGCAGCATGTATTGGATGGATGACATCATCCGTCCATTCCCTGAAAAGCCTCAACAAATGCCCATACTTAAATTGATTAGTCTCGCATAATTGTTCAATAGCATCATTTGCCATTTTTACAGCTGCATACAAGAACCCAGAAGTAGCGCCGTAGCTATCAACTAGACAGAGTACTTGAAATATCGGTTTTAGAGCATCCAAGACTTCTTTCCCTTCACTCCAAAATTCAGAACTTTGAATGATTTCACCAACTTCCACGCCTGATTCGTCCTTTTCAAAACCCAACGAAGGCCACTCAGATGACGAAACAAGCAATCGCAGCTCACTTTCAATCCCCATGATTGATTGAAGCATATAATAGTCTGAGTAAAATTTTGTTGTTGATGATTGTTTCAACTCCCGGATGTTTGTGAACGGCTTCATCGATGATAAGATACCATCATGCTTGTGAATCTTAGTGACGACCGCTCTTGCTTGATCAAATGCCTTTCGAACCCATTGGTTATTATTGCAAATATCCTTGAAGAGATAATTTATTTCACGGGTAACACAACTAGTCTTGTACACATGGGGATGGTTGTTATTTCGCATAACTTGAAATAAGTTTTCTTCTCCAGCACTTATATACTGCACAACATTGTTGACCCCAATTTCTTGAGTGAAAAAAGATACCATCTCCCACGGCAAATTGGGTGGAAAACGGAATGGAAACTCATTAGGGACTTCCAATGCATTCAATAGTACCACGCCTTCAATAGAATAAGCGAAGATATAAATGAAGGATCTCTCCTTATCATGCCAAAGATCAAACACGAGCGTGCAGCCAGTTTTAACCCATGATTTCTTCACATTTGCCACATGCTCTCCAATTTGTTTTTCCAAATCAGGCACTAACTTTGTTTTAACTAACGAACAAGAAGGCAACTTATAAGGGGAACCATGTTCAGCCACAGCATTCACAAAGTCAACGAAGGATGGCCTCCGCACAATGTCGACATCGACATCATTCAACAGGATGAACTTAGCAAGCAATTTATCCAGTATAACGCGGTCCTTACCAATATGCATTTTTAGTGAAGTCTCTTCCGTCTTACTTGAACAGGCTTCAGCCTTGGCTCTCTTATTATGACAAGAAATTGCTTCAGCAGCGGCAACTCGAACATCTTCGGGGACCTCAGTGCATATATCTATACCACAGCCTTTAAGTCCAGATAAATGCGATTTAACTCTCGGAACACCGCCGGCAAATTTTCTGTTGCAAAACTTGCACTTAAATTTGCCATCCAGAAGCTCTACATATTCCCAAAATCGATCTCTCTTTCTGACCATGTCTACTTCCTTGGCCTATATACACAAAAGAAGAGCGAATTGAAGTTTCCTCATATACAGTGAATGAAATTTTCAATAGTCAAGTTATCAACAACACCGAGAGCGATAACCCATGTCTTACAGTACATGCACATAAGGTTTAGCGCCCACATATTCCCTTAACATCTTCGCTAAGCAATAATTAAACCCCTGCACTGAAACATCACGCAATTGACATTCAAACTAATGTCCCTCCTTCATCAAAACATGAAGTTTCACCAGAATTGTCGGTGGGTCAACTAGACATAAGGAAGCTTTCTTCCCACCATGAATAAACACACACACATTGTTATGAGAGCTCCAATTCATAAGATTGACATTTAAGCTGGCCTTCATTTGAACAGAGATAAAAGTTCAAGTATCTTGACCGAAAATGAAATTCATTATCTTGAGATCAAATTGAATGAGAATTGCTAGCTATATATAAACGTTCCAGGATCTTCAAGAGAGGGGAATAGATAAATTAAGACAAAAGGCTACATCTTTACTCAATAATTGTTATAATTAAGGGATACTTATACCTAAACCATATGTACAGGAAAGAAATAGAATTAGCTATATTAATCTAACAAGAAAACCTGCTATCCAAGAATTCTCTGATGCGGATAAATTTACTTCAAACTAATACTTCAAAAACGAGGGAAAGGGCTTAAAATTTGAAACGCCCAGAATTCCTCAACCAACTATCGTCGCTCATATTCACATCCATAGAAGTTGAGAGAGAAGAGACCTGACGATAGCACGAAGAAGAAGCAGAGGTAAGCCAAATCTCTCGCACGGCGCGACACCTGAAGAGGGAAGAGCGACCAGATCACCAACTTACACAGCGTCGGAGAGAGCGAGCTAGAGAGAGCTTTTCTTGTATATGTGCTTGAATTACGCCAGTTTATATAGAGGTTCTGTTTTTTTTTTTGCCTTTCTTTCTGGGTTTTGGTCTGCGGTCAAGGCTGTTTTATGTTTTTCTTTTCCCGCGGTCTGCGTCAAATTGGCAGGGCACGTCTCGTTGTCTCGCACGCGTACATGGTTGCGAAAGCAAAAGTACGCGTTCTTTTCAAAGTCACGGCTCTTGCGTTTGTTTCGTCGGTTCCCTTAGCTTTACGACAGTCTTGAGCTGCTACTTTTCTCCTTTTCACACTTCCAACAGCCACTCGGTCGGATCCAATGCACCTTCTAAATGTAGTCAAACCAAAAAATTCAGATGACTTCATCCAATCGTAACCGGCTATAACAAGATTCTCACGTGAGTGAGTCTGAATTAAAACTTTTTCCGTCGAATGAAAAATTACCGACATGTACATGTATTCGAAAGATATATATAAAAGGGCTATTCATCGCACACGAACATTACTTGGAATGAAAAGTTGCTACCCACATAAATTTTATTAGTATCTTTTCCTATGACGAAACAGATTATTCTTGAGATCCTTTCAATCTTTATTCCCTTAACATGCATCTAAATTTCAGTGCATAAATGCTCAAACAATGGAAATTAAATCAATCAATAATAAAACAAGTAGATAAGGAATGAAAAAGAGCCTAAGCCGTATCAGGAAATATGTCGTGTGCAAATAAAATATGAAATCCTATCTTAATGTGCAACAAAAAGTCTTAAATATATTACATTTTTACCAATTCATTTCTAAACCTTTCAATTTTGTCAATCCAGTTCTACACCTTTTGTATTTGTGTTAATTCAGCCATCTAGTCAATTTTGGTCAGCCGTCAAATTCAATCCTAAATCTTTTACATTTATATCAATTTAGTCCATCCGATCAATTTTGGCTAGCCGATGCTGATGTGGGCGCCGGTCGTTTGGCCAATGTTGACGTAGCTATGTTTTTAATAATGCCCAAAATTCGCCGCTCATGCTCACATACATAGAAGTTGAGGGAGAGAGTGTGTGTGTGTTTTCCGTTGGGTTTGATCTGCGGTCAATGGCTTTCTCTTTCCTCTGCGGTCTACTTCAAATTGGCAGGGCACGTTTCGTTCGCTCGCACGCGTACATACGTGAATGGTTGCGGGAAAGCAAAAGAACGCGTTCTTTTCAAAGTCACGGCTCTTGCGTTCGTTTCGTTGGTTCCCTTAGCTTTACGACGGTCTTGAGTCATTCTTGTCCTTTTCACATATCCAACCGCTCTCTCGGATCCAGTACATCTTGTATACGTAGTCAAACCAAAACTCAGACAAACTTCATCCCCAATTGCAACCGTGAGTCTGAATCAAAAAGACTACTCATCACACACGAACATTATTTGGAGCGAAAAGTTACTAGCCACATAAAATTTGTGGACAAGACGGTCAATTTTTTTCTTTAGAACGCAATTACTTTATTGGTGTGAAAGTTAGTATTAAGATAGAGAATTTGTTAGCTTTTGGAAGGTCGAAGTTTAATTTTTCTAGTTTGGAGTTACCTGTCACATGAAGGGTATTACATATTGGTAGCTATGTGTTTTTCATTTAGAAAAAGGGATAATTACACAGGAAGTTTCAAAATTTGTCATTTAATACAATTGAGTCTTAAAACTTAAAAAAAATGCAATCAAATTTTATAACTTACAAAAAAAAATACAATCAAATCCTAAAACATATCAAATTTGTGCAATTGGTCCTTTTGTTGTATTCGTCCAATCAGATTAATGGAAAATATTGAAGTGGTTTTTTTAAATATTTTTCTCTCTCTTGCGTGGCATTAACCTTACTAAAACATGAAATATAAGACTAAAACGATGCCGTTTTAGTTTAAAATCGTAATTTTTAACCAAAAATCTTAATTCAATAAAGTTATAAATAAAAAGGCATTTTAAAAAACACACAAAAGGAAAAAAAAAAAAAGCAAGGGTGCCCTTGCCGCCGCCAGAAAGCTTCAAAGGGGGCTCAACGAGGGTCACCATCAAGTGGCCCTCAACCATACAGTGGCAAGGGCGCCTCGCATCGACTAGCCATTGCCACGATCTGTCCGAGGGCTAGCGAACCTCACCTAGATCTGTGTGGAGGGCCGCGACCCTCGCCTACTCTAGGTGAGGGTTGCCAGGCCCTCACTTTCTGTCAGCAAGGGTTACCGACCCTCACCAAGCCCCGCTGGCCCATTCTAGCAAAGCGAGGCAGCAGTGGCGAGGTCCCTTGGCCTTGCTTTTTTTTTTTTTGTCTTTTTTTAAAAATGCCTGTTTTAAATTTTATTTGTTTATGATTTTGGTTAAAAAATTAGGATTTATACCAAAGCAATGTCGTTTTAGTCTTATATTTTATGTTTTAGTAAGGTCAATGCCATGTAGAAAAGAGAAAATATTTTAAAAAAAGCCATGTAGAGAAGTTAAAATAATAAATAAAAAAGTCACGTCATCATTTTTCGTTAGTCTAATTGGATTGAATTAACGGATGACTCGATTGCACTAATTTGACAAATTTTGAGACTTGATTGCACTTTTTGTAAGTTTTAGGACTCAATTGCATCTTCATGACAAGTTTTAGGATTTTCAATACACTTATAAAAAAAAAATGCCAAGCAGGTGGGAATTTTGAATTGAAATTGCACATTCATGACAAGTTTTAAGAATTTTAGTACACTTATCCAAAAAAAAATGCCAAGCAGATGGGAATTCTGAAGTGAAAATGCAAAGCAAACGAATGATGCTATGCAAATAAGAATTCGCATATATATATATATATATATATATATGTAGTAAGATAATGGAAATGACAACAATCTATCAGTAGAAGCTCCACTGAGCTTTTTTCCCTTTGGGGGGAGATTCACATGGTCTGCAATGGGATGCGTCAGGTTTTTGCGGATCTTCGGTGGGATATCCAAGACGAATTTCAACCGCTCGACCAATTTGCTCAATTTTTCCACTAAAATCCTCATCTCTTTCCAATATATCCTCCTCCACCACCTTATTAGATCTTTATATGTTTCTTCAAGAGCATTGTAACTTGCTTCTTACATATGTATAGTTTATATGGACATTTATATTTGCTTATGTTGGATTGTTGCACTTTTCGGTGCCCCTTTAACCTTTTTGATGTTATGACAAAAAGGAAAGAATGTGTATGATATTTAATTGGATAAATGAGCCTTCTTGCAAGGGGAAGCTTATGACTTAAATTTTATCAAGGCATGTTTAGGAAGAGTTTCCTGATTGGAAATTTTTGTTTAATTTGATGTTGTTTTCACATTATCAAAAAGGGGATATTGTTGACCCTAATTTAACTTTGCTAATTACAAAACTTACTCAAATATGTTATTGATTATCTGGAATCAAAAAGTCGATGCTTGAGACAGCGAACCATGCAGCACTTAAACTCTCTTTGGCTCATGCTTGGACACCTAAGCTCACCCTTTCCTGATGTATCACTCATTCGCTCACTAGCCCACTCGAATCATAGAGAGAGAAGTTCTATTGTTCAAATGTTGAGTGATACAAATCAATGAGAGAATGAAGTAGCTAGTAGTATTACCTAAAAGGAGGTGAATACGTGATTTCAATAAAAGTTGAAAAATTATTGCAGAAGTAACCCGTCAAGTAAATAAGTGCAACCAGGTAAAATGGAGAGTTAATATAATCAACATCTGATTATATTAAGCAGTGTAATGTAGTGCTTCTATCAAGCAAAAAAAAAAGTGTAGAGATAGAGAATAATGCACTCATAGCTTATAGTGGTTCAACTTGGTGTAAGCCTACGTCCACTTTCTCAGTTAATAGCTTATTTGTGACATCCCGAATTTCGGCCCATTTTTGGGTTTTATAAAACGCGTAATTTGTCAGTGTGCTTATAGTAAAATCTCGCCCGGGAACTGATCACTTCCGGTTATCATTTTAAATTAGAGATTTCGCTAGAATCGCACTCGATCGAATTTGGCCGTTATTTAGACCACGAACTTGGCAGTCGATTTTCGAGAGTTTGAGGACGAAATAAATTGGACGGTGTCGATATTGTTGTGACCAACGTTAAGATTATCAAGAATAGTGAGAAAGTGGAATTTTGACCGGGTGCGAATTTGGACTAGTAGACCTCCCTCGTAGTGTGTTTTGTGTTATTTTCTTTTGGCCCTTTTTCCTAAATTATAATTAGGATTTTCGTGGACCGTGGGATAGTTTTCGGGTTCGAATCGTGACCGTTGGATCGCGATCATTGCTCTCTCTCTCTCTCTCTCTCTCTCTCTCTCCTCCTCCTCCTGCCGCGCCTGCGCATGTCTGCCCATGCATGCAGACGTCCCCTCTCCCTTCTTTTCCGCTCACGTTTCCTCCTTCTCTCTCTCTTCTTTTCTTCTCTTTTCTTTTTCTTTTATTCCTCTTGTCTTCCTCTTCTTCTTCGTCTCTTCCGCCCCCGACTCCTCGCTTCTTCCATTCCTCGGCTTCCCGCTTGTCGCTCGACCGCCAAAGCTCGGCCCCCGCCGGCCGCTCGCCGCGCCCGACCGCCGCCGCCCGCCCGCTCGGAGCCACCGCCCCACCAGCCGCCACGCGGTTGACGCTCATGACCCCCCCCACTCTCCTCCCCCTTCCCCTGTTTCTCTCCTTCCCCGAGCTCCTTTTCGCCCGTCCGGCTCCGCCTTATCCAGCCGCCGCGCGCCGTCGTTCCGGCCGCCGCCGCTGCTCCGTCCGCCACCACTCGGCCCTCGGCCGCGCCGCCCGGTCCCTCGCAGCCCGCCGAGCCCGCCTGGTTCGCCTATTGCCAGCTCACTCAACCCACTCGCCCGTCCGAGCGAGGCCAAGCTCCGCCGAAGCCGCCCGGCTCGCCCGTCGTCCCGTCGCGCGCCAGCTCGCCCGACAAAGCTCGGGACGCCGTCGCGCCGACCACCGGCCGCCGCCCCGGCGTTCTCTTCTCTTCGCCCTTCCTTGCTGCTGCTGCGTGCGTCTTCTGCTCTTGCTACCTTGATTACGCTACGCCAGGCCCGCTCCGCATGCGTCC